ACGGCTCTGGGGTTGTGGTGCTCATCTCGCTTTACTGGCCGAGGGAGCCAGCGTTTGTCCGCAGATAGCTTCCGGGTCATGTGGCCAGCATGACTAAGCTGCTTCTGGCAAACCAGAGCAGCGCATGGAAATGCCGTTTACCTTCCTGCCGGAGCAGTACCTACCGTATTTATCTACTTGCACTTTGATGTGCTTTCGAACTGCTAGGTGGGCAGGAGAAGGGACCGAACAACAGGAGTCGTGGGGATTCGAAACCACCGACCTTCTGATCGGCAAGCCCTAGGCTCTGTGGTTTAACCCACAGCGCCACACACGTCCCTTAATAATTGAATAGGACGTCCCTATTTTCATCAAAGCAATGTTGGAGGGTATGCAATGGACAGGGCTGCTGGGAGTTGTTATCCAACAATATCTGGAGGACATCACACCAGACTAGGGCTAGGAGGTCCTTGAAAATAGGATCTCAACCATCTGCTCCCCCAGGACACTCCATTCTATTCCGCCGCTCCCCAACACAGCATTCCATGCCTACTGAGCATGCTCAGTTATCACTGGGCTATTTTTTTGCATTTTACCCTCTTTGGGCTTTGTGCGTGTGTGTGCTTTTACAGATCTTTTTGTGGGTGATCTCCGATGCTAGTCCTGCTCAGAGCAGACCCGTTTAATGGATCTGCTCTCTGAGTGTGACTTAAAGGGCATGTCTACAAACCGTGTGCACCTATGTACACAAAGAGCTGAGCCATACACTCATGATTCACACGCAACATTCAACAAGTGTGTACACCAGGGAAGGGGAACCTCAGGCCCACATTGTGAACCGATGTGAGATCTTTGGGTGAAGGGCAGTATATAAATTTAATCAATAATCAATAATCATAATATGCGGCCCTCCAGGCCTCTCTAACTGGCCCTTCCATCTTTCTCCAGGCCACACCCCCTCATTCACCAGGCCACGCCCCCTCATCAGCCTCCCTTCTCACACCCTCATTGAGTGTTTTTGCCTGGATGGAATCTGTCCTCGAACTCTGAATGATACCTCTTGCATTATCTGGGCAGTGGGTAGCTGCCCCCACCCCTTCTGTATCTACAGCTCTGAAATAGAATATCTATTTACTTAGCCTCCCTGAGCCTGGCCTTGGCTGGGGAGGGCGGGGTATAAATAAAAATTATTATTATTATTATTATTATTATTTCATGGAATTTATATACTGCTTGGTTGATTTTTTTTAATTAAAAAAACCAAACCCAAAGCAGATTACAAAAAAGGAAATAATGAAATGATCAGTAAAACAACAGCAACAGTTAAAAACAGCTACAGTGGTACCTTGGGTTACATACGCTTCAGGTTACATACGCTTCAGGTTACAGACTCTGCTAACCCAGAAATAGTGCTTCAGGTTTAGAACTTTGCTTCAGGATGAGAACAGAAATCATGCTCCGGCGGCGCAGCAGCTGCAGGAGGCCCCATTAGCTAAAGTGGTGCTTCAGGTTAAGAACAGTTTCAGGTTAAGTACGGACCTCCGGAACGAATTAAGTACTTGACCCGAGGTACCACTGTATTTGATGCCTCTGAGAAAGAACTGATATCCACGAGAAGCTAAAAAACCCACACATTAAAACAAATGGCAACAGTCTACATGTGTGGATAGGCTTTGCCTAAAAAAATGCTTTGAGCATGGACTGAAAGTACAGTGAAGGCACCTGCCAGAATGAGAAATATGAGGTAAGAAAATCTTGCAGGTAAACTGGTCCCAAACTTGATTTCTCCTTGTTCTGCTGAAAACCTGTGGATACCTCTCTCTTGGGTGTGGATGGGACCATTTTGGCTACAGAAGGCTTAATTCTCTGTTTGCTATTAGTCTACCCTATAGCAAAGGTATGGTATTCCGCAGCTGAAACAGTCCGAAGATGCTGAGATTGTCCGTGGTGTTTAAGCAGGAAGCAGGGGCAAGAGTTGACTAGCCAGGGAATTGCTCTGCAGCGATAATGTCCCCCCAAACCCCACCCAGCCCCACAGGGGATTTTCTGGGCTGCAGACCTGAACACAATACAAATCTGCGTAGCCTTTTGGCTAGGAAGAATGATCTCTTGTGGGGGAGTCTTTTATGCAGGCCAAGAAGCAGAAAATAAGTGTTTCACTCCCGTGGCTTGGGGAAGCGTGGGGGGCCACTCTGGCCCTCCTGAACTCATTGGACTACAATCCCAGCATTGCCCCCTAGCCAGCACACGAATGATAACCCAACAAAGTCTGAAGAGCTACAGATTTTCCCCACACCTAGCTTAGGATCTGTTTGAACAGAGTTCTAAGTCAGTCGGTGAGCTTTGTAGGAGGATTCGAACACAGATCTCCCAGGTCAAAGTCTGACCTCTATGCCAGGCCTGCCTCCCAGGTGTTGTACCTCTCAGCGAACACTTTACGTATCAGATAGTCTGCTCCTGAAGCTGTATGCACTGCAGAAAGTTTGAGGGTTGGGTCACCCAGAACTGCATTCAGCTAAATAGTAGAGCTGGCAGGAACCTCTGTGCAAGGACTCCTGTTTGGGCAACAGGGCTTCTCAGTCTCTCCTCCTCCCATGCCCCCCCCCCCTCAAATCATCTGGGGGTGGAAGACGCTGGATCCTTCCATCCAGCAAGCAGCAATGCTTGTGCCAAAGGAATGCTCATTTATGTATTCATTTCATAAAATTCATACACTGATTTACTGTTATAACAATCCTCAAAGCAGTTTACAAAAACGCTGAAACAATAAAATTACCGATAAGCAAAATCGACAACTGTAATTTGGGATTTTCAAAAAGCTAAAAATAGATTAAAACTCGCACCAGCTTTCTAAACATCTGAGCAGGCTTGTCTAAGCAAGACTGTTTTTAGCCGCTGCTGAAAAGAGTACAGTGAAGGCACCTGCCTGATATCAATAAGCAGGGAGTTCCAAAGTTACAAAAGCAGAATAGGTATTATGTGGGTATTAGTATCAAAACAGCAAGACGTCGAATGATGTCCATGGTTCACCCAGGGCAAATGGTTTGACAAACCATTATTAAAATATGGCTCAATCTGGATCAGGTGAAAGAATATAGGGTCAAATGTGTTGAGTTAAAAATAATAATATTCCAATGAATATCTGAGGGGAAATGTGGGCTTATTGATCCACATTTTGATCCTAATGAAATGCCAGTGATTCTGCCCTGTAACTATACATTTCAGGACATGAGCAAAGGAAGCTTCAGGGAAGTTTCTGTGCCATTACTGGGTTGTTCATCGAGAGACTAAGGTGGAATCTAGACACATATAAAAATCGCTTTGAAGCGTTTTTAAAAAATACATTGAATTTTCCATAAGGCTCACCATCACCATCCAGTGTCACATTATATATTGCACTTAAAAGACACTTAAAACTTTTTATTTGCAGCTGTATAGCTGAATCCTAAGGCTGGATCTAGACACATCAAAAAAACTTTTCAGGAAAACGCGTTGTAAACCTCATAATGGGAAATCACTTGCTGAAAGACGGAACTCCACAGCGCCATCTAGTTCCAAAGTGTTAGAATGCATTTAAAACGCTTCTTTTTTAACTAATGTAGCTGAGTCCCCAGATGAGCTTCTGAAAAACCCTAGAATCCACTCGTCCTTGATCTGCTGCCCGCAATTGTAATTGTAATCCTTCTACATTGTAACCCTCAGTCCAGAGTGGCATATTTCCATTAGCAGGGCTATAGAGAATGGTTTGTATTCATTGCTAGTCCTACTCTGAGTAGACCCACTGAAATTAATAGAAGTCACCAACTTAAGTCCATTAATTTCCTTTTTTTAAAAAAAAAATATTAAGTACAAATTAGAAAACATACATATTTACAAAAAAAGGAAATACAAAGGAAAAAGAAAATACATATAGCCAAGGAAAATAATTAGAGAATACTTTGCCTCTTTTCATATTTACAGTTATTTATACCTCTATAAAATGCTATTCACAATAAAGGAGTGAAATGAAAGACAAGAGATCAGAAAAAATAAAAAAGAACAAAGAAAAAAAATAAAGAAGTAAAAGAAAAGGATCATAGGTGAAAATTTTTAAAAGTAGATAAGTATTCACTATACATAGCCGTTCCCCATCTATATGTGGGAGCCCTAGGAAAATGCATTCACACTTTTTCCAGGGTCCCCTTTCCATCCACTGGAAAGAGATCATTTGCATGGGCCTATCCTGGGCCTAGTGCTACTTTTGGGAGAATTTCCCACGCCTGCCTCAGGGACTGGGTGCCCTTAACTCAAATTTCCCTGTCTTCCTACAATAAGAGCATGCAGGCATTCCGGTGGCAAGGAGTTCCTGTGGCAGGGACCTCTGCCTAGTGCACATTCTTAACCCCACCGCCAACAAAAACGTAAGTCTAGTCAAAGCTCTCACTTCAGCTGTTCAGTATCTTTTGTAGCTTGCGCCCCAAACACAGCAACAACTGAGCTATTCTGTACACACAGCACCATTCAGCGCCTTGCTGGATAGCATCAAAACATTACCTTGCTCTCCAATGTTCTCTTTGGATGGAGCTCAGATCAGCAGCAAAACAGAGGAGACGTCAAACGGCACTTGGATTCACACTCGGTTCAAGCGGGATGTGTAATTTGAGTCACTTCAAAGCAAGATGTCGGAAGAACTCCTTCTCTTAGAGAAGACCCTCTTTTATCTTCTTGAGAATCCACCTCTCGGGGCTGCCACAAGCCTCATCTATGGGTAATCCATTGGTTAGGCCGTCCGCCGTATTGTGCCAAATCGGGGTTAGAAGGGGAAAAGGAGCTCAGATCCACTTGCCTTCTGAAGAGCAAAGCCCTCAAAGAGAGACTGACTCACTGATCCAGCTGATTCTTGCTCTCCATCCTGGGCTGTGCCCAGAGGCTGGTCCGGTGAGAGAGGAACGACTGACTGTCTTTGATCTCATGACCAGACAGTGGATGCCTCAGGGGGGTTTTGGACTCCATGAGGCTCTCGTTTGCCTTGCACCATTGCAGCCCCATAGGGATAGCTCAGTCGGGAGAGAATGAGACTCTTAACGTTCAGGGCTGTGGGTTCAAGCCCCACGTTGGGCGAAAGATTCCTGCATTTGCAGGGGGTTAGACTAGATGACCCTCGTGGTCCCTTCCAACTCTACGATTCTATGATTACAGCAGGCCAGTGGCTGTATTCTACTTCCACTGTTGGAGGCAGTATGCAGGGGCACCTGTTTGGCCACTGTGAGATGGACTAGATAGAACATTGGTCTCATTCAGCAGGGTTCTTAGTCCTGAACAGTGGCGGAGCTTCATGCTTCGGCACCGGGGGGGTGGAGAGCAGGCAGGGGTGTGGCGTGCATCTGGGGGTGTGGCTACTGCAGCCAATCAGAAGCTGTGGAAGCCCCGCAGGACGTTCGGGTTCCAAAAGAACGTTCTCAAACTGGAACACTCACTTCTGGGTTTGCGGCGTGCGGGAGCCAAAACGTTAGACTGCTAAGGCGTTTGTCAACTAAGGTACGACTGTATGAACCTTATTTTATTAATCTAGATATTCAAGACATCCTTCAAAAGAGAACCATAACACAAATATAAAACAGATCAAAAGCTTTTTGGGGTTTTAATTGGTTGTTTATAATTCACTTTAGATCACTTTCTCAGACCTTCCAAGTGTCCCTATTTTCCAGGGATGTCCCTGATGTAGAGAAGCCATCCCGGTTTCTGATATGACCCTGGAATGTCCCACTTTTCCTTAGGATGTCGCTATATTCATTGGAGAAATCCTGGAGGGTATGGAGTTATCCAACCCCCAAGCCGTCTGAAGGTAATCCTCTACAGTGGTACCTCAGGTTACAGACGCTTCAGGTTACAGACTCCGCTAACCCAGAAATAGTACCTCAGGTTAAGAACTTTGCTTCAGGATCAGAACAGAAATCGTGCTCTGGCGGCGCAGCGGGAGGCCCCATTAGCTAAAGTGGTACCTCAGTTTGAGAACAATTTCAGGTTAAGAACGGACCTCCGGAACGAATTAAGTTCTTAACCCGGGGTACCACTATATAGGGAAGGGTTTCTTAAAAAAATGTTTAATGTTTTATTATGTTTTTATATATATAGGAAGCTGCCCAGAGTGGCTGGGCCAATCCAGTCAGATGGGTGAGGTATAAATAGTTAAAATTATCATTATGGAATGGGACGTCCCTATTTTCATCAGAGAAATGTTGGAGGGTATGCCTTCTACTGCCACACCACCCTCTCTAAAGGGTGTACCTGAACGCCCAAGACTTTCTCGGTTCTCCTTCTCTATCCCTTTCTGAACTTTTCCTGGTTCCTGATAGAAGAACATATGGATCAGGCCAGTAGCCCATCTGGACCAGTGTGCTGTTCTCACAGTGCCCAGCCAGGTGTCCCCATGGGAAGCCCAGTAGCAAGATCGGAATGCTCTCCCTCCTTCTGATTCTCAGGCTCTCGGAAGCCTACTGTCTCCAGCAGTGGAGGGAGAACACAGTCACTGTGGCCAGGAGCCATAGAAAGCATCATTCTCCATACCTGTAAGTGACGGGCTTTACTCTACCTGGAAAAGGCATCCAGCTGGATCTCCGATCACCCCAAGGATCTGGCAACCGTTTCCGCCACTGCTGCAGGCGTTCCTCAAGAGGAGCGAAGCTCACCTCTCACCTCCCTTTGCTGCAAGTTACCGGATGAGGTTTGGAAATCAGGGAGGGAGATATTTCTGCAAACGCCCTTGTGAAATAGAGGCAAATCTTGTTTGAGAGAGCTTAAACCAGATGGAGATGGTTGCGAGGCCACCTAAAGTTTCCGAACATAATGGAAAATTGAGGGCATAAGAACATGAGGCTTCCGGATCAGGCCCATGGCCTGTCTAGTCCAGCATCCTTGTTCTCGCAGTGGCCAACCAGAGGCCCCAATGCGAAGCCCAGCAGCAAGATCTGAGCCAGAGAGGGAGCCAGTCTAACTGCCTTTGGGAGGGAACTCCACAATCTGGGAGCAGCCACAAAAAAGGCTCTCTCACGGATCACCAACAGTTGTGCCTCTGATGCCTAGGAGACTGAGCGAACATACCCACCCAAGGATCGTGGCACCAGGGCAGGTTCCTATAGGGCAATGTTTCCCAAACTTGGGTCTCCAGCTCTTTTTGAACTACAATTCCCACCATCCCTGGCCATAGGTCCTGCTAACTAGGGTTGATGGGAGCTGTAGTCCGAAAACATCTGGAGACCAAAGTTTGGGAAAGACTGATATAGGGAGATATTTTTCAGCTAGCATGGGCCCAAGCCACATAGACTCCCTGGTCCTGAATGGGGTAACTGTGCCCCTGAAGGACCAGGTGCGCAGCCTGGGAGTCATTTTGGACTCACAGCTGTCCATGGAGACGCAGATCAACTCTGTGTCCAGGGCAGCTGTTTACCAGCTCCATCTGGTACGCAGGCTGAGACCTTATCTGCCCACAGACTGCCTCGCCAGAGTGGTGCATGCTCTGGTTATCTCTCGCTTGGACTACTGCAATGTGCTCTATGTGGGGCTACCTTTGAAGGTGACCCAGAAACTACAACTAATCCAGAATGCAGCAGCTAGACTGGTGACTGGGAGCGGCCGCCGAGACCACATAACACCGGTCTTGAAAGACCTACATTGGCTCCCAACACGTTTCTGAGCACAATTCAAAGTGTTGGTGCTGACCTTTAAAGCCCTAAACGGCCTCGGTCCAGTATATCTGAAGGAGCATCTCCATCCCCACCATTCTACACGGACACTGAGGTCCAGCGCCGAGGGCCTTCTGGCGGTTCCCTCACTGTGAGAAGCCAAGTTACAAGGAACCAGGCAGAGGGCCTTCTCGGTAGTGGCACCCGCCCTGTGGATTGCCCTCCCACCAGATGTCAAAGAGAACAACTACTACCAGACTTTTAGAAGACATCTTAAGGCAGCCCTGTTTAGGGAAGCTTTTAATGTTTAATAGGTTATTGTATTTTAATATTCTGTTGGAAGCCACCCAGAGTGGCTGGGGAAACACAGCCAGATGACCCAATAGAAACGAACCTGCAAGTTATCACTGAATTGTTGAAACTATGGGAAGGCTTTGCCCTGATCCAGTGAAGAGCTTCATGAATGTGGCTGCTTAAATGTGCATAGCATCTGCTGGATCAGGACTTAAAAAGCACATCGGAGTGTGGGTGCTCCCTATCCACACAGCATTGCACAAAATTGGGTGGGTTGCCTTCACACCTGCATTCCACCTTATAGGCTCCTGCTGTCACATGGGAGATATATTTTTATATATTGATTTGAGCAGGTCCAGGGGTCTTGCTACAGGCTTCAGTTCCTCTCGTGGTTACTCGTCAACATGGTTGTGCTTTTATTCTATAGCAGTTGCAGAGAAAACCCAGAATGTGCGACTGGCTGCAGAATTCAGTTTCCTGCAAACTGAACTGTTTTCTTTTTTAAAATGCAAGTTTCTAGTCCTTATGAGTAAGTGCAAGAGATGGTTGAGAGTGTGTGGGCAATGCATGACATGAGATCTCAGAAGTGAGAGTATTTGATGAGTAAAATCTCCAGCAGTCACAGAATGAGGAATCAGTGAAATATATAGGGAAACTCAGGACCATTTCACCTATTAAAATGGTAGCCAATGCACAACCCACATTCACACAGAGTTTCAGCCATTCCTAGGTCCTTGGCTGATCATAGAATCATAGAGTTGGAAGGGAACACAAGGGTCATCTAAGTCCAACCCCCTGAAATGCAGGAATATTTCACCCAATGTGGGGCTCGAACCCACAACCCTGGGATTAAGAGACTCATGCTCTCCCGACTGAGCTATCCTCTGTGCTAATTTCCCGCGTTAACCAAAACAGAGCTAAACATTAATAAATTGATTAGATTTCATTAGATTATAAAGCATTTGATCAAATAAAATGGTGAGTGAATTTTAATGGTCAGTGAATTGATCAGTCAGGAAATGGTCATTGAATTCGTCAGTGAATTTTAATTGCAAAAGAAAAAACCATTTGTAATCAAAATGCTACTTAAGTTTCTCTTTAACACTTAGAATTTTCAAACTTTTGCAATAGGGATTCCACAGCAGCCACTAAACCAGGCATGTCCAAAGTCCGTTTCAGGGGCCTAATCCGGCCCGCCAGTTGGTTTAATCCAGCCCCTGTGGCAGTTTATTTTCTGGGGTAAAATCCTTAAAAAACTCAACAACTTCAACCCTAAAAAAAGGTCAACAACCTTTATTTCATCAAATCTGGCCCTTTTTGAAAAAAGTTTGGACACCACTGCACTAAACGGACTAGGTTTTAATTGATTAAAAACCATTTGAGCAACTAAAAATGTCCTTCCACCTCCCAACCTCCCTGTGACCTGCCCAGTGGATATAAACGTATCAAAATTGTGTTTAATATCAGAGCTTGCCTCCTATGACTCAGACCTACACCATCTGGAAACTACGGAAATATGTTATGTGTTCTCCCCCTTTGTATGCAAATATATGCAGAATTCAAATGATTACCAAATTAGGCAACATAGGCAGCTGCCTTCTAATGAAATGAAATATTGTGGGGACCCAGGTAAGCCTGGCCTTGCATAATCAATCACATGACAAGGGGCACACACACCATTTGAATGGGAATGCCCATCAACTTTGTGGAGGCCCAGCCCCCTGAAATATTTCATTGTGGGGGTAGAAGCCCCCATAGCTCCTAGGAGGTGACTCCTATGCTTCTACTGAATGAGGCCATTGGTCCATCTAGCTCAATGTTGTCTGCACTGACTGGTAGTGACCTCTCCAGGGTTTCTCAGCCCAACCTGGAAATGAACCTGGGACCTTGCTGGAGCTCTCCTGCGCTTCCTCACCTCTCTGCATCTTTCCCCACAAGTCTCCCGTGGGTTCAGTTCTCAGCATCTTGAGGTGGGGCTGGGAGACAACTCCCCCCCCCGAAACCCTAGAGTGCTGCTGCCAGTCATTGTATGATGCTAAGCTAGATGACTCAGCTGCCCTGGCTTGGAATCAGCTTCCTATGTCCCTGTATCTTAAGGGAAGGGCTGTGGCTCATTGGTAGACCATCTGCCTAGCAGGCATCAAGTCCCAGGTTCAGTCCCCATCAACTCCATGTAAGGCTGGAAGAGATACCTCTTTGAAACCTTAAGAGAGTTGCTGCTGCTCAGTGTTGAGAATACTGAACTGTAAAAAAGGTAAATGACCCCTGGACGGTGAAGTCCAGTCAAAGGCGACTATGGGGTTGCGGCACTCATCTTGCTTTCAGGTCGAGGGAGCTGGCGTTTGTCCACAGACAGCTTTCTAGGTCATGCAGCCAGCATGACTAAACTGCTTCTGGAGCAACGGGACACCATGACGGAAACCATAGTGCACGGAAACGCCATTTACCTTCCGGCCACAGCAGTACCTATTTATCTACTTGCACTGGTCTGCTTTCGAACTGCTCGGTTGGCAGGAGCTGGGACAGAGCAATGGGAGCTCACCACCCGCGTCCCATACTGAACCGTGTGTGTGTGTGTGTGTGTGTGTGTGTAGGGACGCAGGTGGCACTGTTGTCTAAACCACTGCGCCTCTTGGGCTTGCCGATCAGAAGGTCGGTGGTTCGAATCTCCACAATGGGGTGAGCTCCCGTTCCTCAGTCCCAGCTCCTGCCAACCTAGCAGTTTGAAAGCATGTCAAAGTGCAAGCAGATAAATAGGTACCGCTCCGGTGGGAAGGTAAACAGTGTTTCCGTGCGCTGCTCTGATTTCGCCAGAAGCGGCTTAGTCATGCTGGCCACATGGCCTGGAAAAACTGTCTGTGGACAAACGTCGGCTCCCTTGGCCTGTAAAGTGAGATGAGCGCCACAACCCCAGAGTCGTCTGGACTGGACTTAACTGTCAGGGGTCCTTTACCTTTATAGATTTATAGATTTATAGATAGATAGATAGATAGATAGATAGATAGATAGATAGATAGATATGGAACCGCGTCCCATACTGAACTGTATGGTTCATTGTCTGACGTTTAAGCAGCCATCTATGTTCCCATGTAACTCAAAGAACATAAAGACGAGCTCTCCTGGATCAGACCAATGACCCATCTAGTCTAAGTAACCTGTTCTCAGAGTGGCCAACCAGATGCCTGCTGGAAGCCCACAAGCAGGATCTGAGCACAAGAGCACTCTCCCCTCCTGAGGCTTCCTGCAACTGGTATTCAGAAGCAATACTCTCTTTGGGACTGTAAAGGCAGGGCATTGCTAGTGGCCATTGGTGGTCCTCTTGTCTCAGTGGGTAGAGAACGAGGCTCTTAATCTCAGGGTTGTGGGTTCGAGCCCCATGTTGGGCAAACGATTCCTGCATTGCAGGGGGCGTGGACTTGATGATCCATGGGGTGCCTTCCAACTCTATGATTCTCCTCCATGAATTTGCCTTTCAAAATCATCCAAGTTGGTGGCCATTACTGCCCCCTTATGGGAGTGAGTTCCACTGTTTGTCTATGCTTTCTGTGAAGAAGACCTTTCGATCATCTGTTCTGAATCTTCCAGCATTCAGCTTCATGGAAGGTCCACAAGCTTCAGTGCTATGAGAGAGGGAGAAAAATGTTTTCTATGCCCACTCCCTACATGCTCTGCATAATTTTATTTTACTCTGTATTTCACATTATCTGAATTGCACATTTCAATTGAAAACTAACAGCCAGTTCTTTGACATTGGGTCTTGGGCTGTAAATATGGAGCCATTGCTGAAGTTCCTTTAAAAAAAGAAGAAGACAATTATTTGCTTGCTTATTTAAAATACAGTGGTACCTCGTGTTACATACGCTTCAGGTTACAGACTCCGCTAACCCAGAAATAGTGCTTCAGGTTAAGAACTTTGCTTCAGGATGAGAACAGAAATTGTGCTCCAGCGGCATGGCGGCAGCGGGAGGCCCCATTAGCTAACGTGGTGCTTCAGGTTAAGAACAGTTTCAGGTTAAGAACGGACCTCCGGAATGAATTAAGTACTTAACCCGAGGTACCACTGTAGTTATATTCCACCTGACCTCAAAGCTCAAAGGCGAGTAACTCAATAAGTGAAACTGGATGTACAATGGCAAATCATAAGATTATTTATTTTATGAAAATACAAAAAAAAACCAAGATTTATATTAATATCAGAAAACAGGTCAGTGCAGGTGGAACATTATCATTCCACAAAGTCACACTCATACAACCAAGGCTGAATGCTTTTACTTATACAAACATACGTCATCCACTCTGGAAGAATAAATAAACCTGAGAAAACAAGTCCCATCTGCAGGACAGCAATGTGTTATTAAGTTAACTTTTACAAATACAGTATGTACATGTTATATAAATATTGACTGCAACGTTTTAAATAGGCTTTCCCAGTGCAAAGGTGCTCTCCTAAAAATAAAAATCAGTGAAGTTTCAATAAATAATAGAACCTTAACATCGGAAATAGAAAGAATTCTATATACTGCACATTGGCTGCTGAAAGTCTAAAAATAAAAAGGCAGTGTGTTGTCTCTGAAGCCAGTCTTCCTCAAAGGAGATGCATTTAAGTTAATGAACATGACTATATCTTACTTCCACTGGTATCAGTGGGTCTCCTCTCACTGGGACTAGCCTTGGATGCAACCCAGTAGCATATTAATTTAAAAATATATGCATTGTAAATATCTTCAGTCAACCCTCTCCATGTCCAATTGCCTGCAGAAGAACTCAGGTGTGTTGGTGACATTTCTGAAAGATTTTCTATGACAGTGCAGCTGTCCTCCCCACCCCACCCCAAAAAAACTTAGGGTGTTGAAATCTCTGATCTGTAGCAGCTTAGCTGTAGATTTGTACTTATTTATGGACATCATTGGCATGACTAAACAACTAAACAACAACAACAATGGACGTCATCCCTGTGCATAGCTCCTGGGAGGCACTATGTAAGAACATAAGAAGAGGCTGCTGGATCAGGCCCATTTGTTCCAGACTCCTGTAGCCACAGTGGCCTCCCAGATGCCTTTGGGAACCAGGCAAGTAGGTCCTGAGCACTCTCCTTTTCTGGGGCTTCCAGCAACTGGTATTCAGAAGCCTTACTGCCTCGCACTGTGGAAGCAGAGCACAGGATCATTTATGGTCAGCCACAATATTGTTATCCTTCATGCATTTGTCCAATCCTCTTTTAAAGCCAACCAAGTTGCTGGCCATCACAGCCTCATGTGGCAGAGAGTTCCAGATGTGCCTGCATCTGGGAAATTTCCACCAAAATGATTCCTACACAGGAATATAACTCAGCAGATTGTCGTCCACATAACCTCCAGGTAACGGCAGAGATAAACCCGCCTTTAATTATGAAAGCACAACACATAAGGGAGGGCAGTATAAGGTAAAGGGTAAAGGGACCCCTGACCATTAGGTCCAGTCGTGGCCGACTCTGGGGTTGTGGCGCTCATCTCGCTTTATTGGCCGAGGGAGCCAGCGTACAGCGTCCGGGTCATGTGGCCAGCAGGACTAAGCTGCTTCTGGCGAACCAGAGCAGTGCACGGAAACGCCGTTTACCTTCCCGCCGAAGTGGTACCTATTTATCTACTTGCACTTTGACATGCTTTCGAACTGCTAGGTGGGCAGGAGGAGGGACCGAGCAACGGGAGCTCACCCCGTCGCGGGGATTCGAACCGCCAACCTTCTGATCAGCAAGTCCTAGGCTCTGTGGTTTAACCCACAGCGCCACCCACGTCCCTATAACCTCCAGGTAAAGGGAGAGATAAACCCGCCTTTAATTATGAAAGCACAACACATAAGGGAGGGCAGTATATCGCCCCCTAAAAGGAAAACCACCCCCAAGGAGATCTCTCCGGGCTTTTGGACTAAAATGAGATATGTGCCTGCACGAGTGAGTCCTGTCTTTTATCTGTCCAGAATCTCCCCAACACTCAGCTTCACCGGTTGTCCATGAGTTCGAGGCCAGGGGAAATACTTCTTTTCTCTGTCTACTTTCTCGCAGAATTTTCTAAATGCCTATTATGTCACCTCCGACTTGCCTTTTCTCAGAACTGAAAATTCCCAAGCGCTACAAACATTCCTCATCGGGGAGTCACCCTGAGTAAAGCCATGGCTACAGGTAATTTGCTGCAGGCAAGACAGATTCATTGAGGCTTAGTGCTGAAAACTTTTCCCCCCAGGCAGTGGCTCTACACTGGGAAAATCCCCCTGTTGTAAATATGCCACAGGCAACTCCCAGCATCATCTACCTCCTGAAAGGTGTAGATTCCATGGTCCAGTGACATACCAGGAAAATAGAACCCGGGGGTGGAGTTATGCAGATGAAGAGGAGGGACCATGCAAATGAAAGCTGGCTCAGTTTTCTGCAGCTTCCAGTGATGGTTTTCCAATGGGAGTAGGCAACTTGACTGCAGCCTGAGACATGGTCCAAAGAGGGCACATGGGTCACCTGCAACCAGGGGTTTACCAGCCTTTTTTTGCGGGGGGGGGGCAAATGTAGCCCCTTTCCTTTCTCTCTTCTGCATTGCAGAGGGTTGGACCAGATCATCCTTTAGGTCCCCTTCCAGCCCTACAGTTTTCTGTGGTTCTACGACTAGCTGCCGTTTCGTTCCCATGGGAAAGCCACAACTTGGATTGGAAGTAAACAGGTGAATGGGTGAGTCCTGCTCACCCCCCCTTTAGATCACAGAAACAACTTCTGCCTAGCAAAGGGAAGAGAGCATTTGCCTGTCAAAATCACATGCCGTCGGCTGTGGGGCTTCTGCTCCTTCTGCAACATGCAGCGATTTAGTCAGGCAGGGGATATTGAATCACTGTGGGAAAATCATTGGGCTATGATGGACAGCCATCCTCAGCTGGCCTCTGCTGATGCCCTGAAGTAACCTCTGAAGTGGATCCTTCCCAGGGATCTATTGCTGCAATCAAAACAGCAACAGCCCTTCAAATGCTAATTCAGCTGCCCCCCCTATTTTATAATTTGTGCAATCTTATCTCGCTCCCTAATTCAGCTGCGCCCCCATAATCAATAAAAAATACAAATCTGAGGTTCTGCCCACCCCTAACAAAAGCCTGCCCCCTAACAAAAATCCTGGCTACGCCCATGTGTATAGATGATATCGTTTCAAAGTGTAGCATACCAACCAAGAGAAAAGTGTTCCTGTCCATGTGCAAAGTTCCTGAGGCCAAAGTGTTCCTGTCCTTGTGCAAAGTACATTCTATGTCGGCGACACACACATTTCCTCAGCGGGAAATATAGGAGGCCCCTTTGTGCAAAGTGCCAGCTGAGCAAAAGGCAGCGAATCTCTGCCCCTATATCGTTCCTCTTCTTAATGCTGCCTTCTGTTCCACTCTTCTTGAATTCTGGATCTTAGGCCTGGCAACAGCCTATACTGCACAGAGCCTGGAGACAGGAAACAAAAGCTGTGAGGCGAGACTGAAGAACAAGCGCCCTAGCTCAGCGGTTAGAGCATCTGACCCACATGGAGAGGACGCCAGGTTCAGTCCCCACCATCTTCAGGTAGTGTTGGGAGAGACCTAGTCCGAGACACTGCAGAGCTGCTGGCAGTCAGTGTAGACAATACTGAGCTAGGTGGCCTGCGCTATAAGGCAGCCCACTGTGTCCCTGTCAGCAACAAAGGGCCATAATCTGTGTTTTGAAACATGTCACCCAAAGGCCTCTTCATGTCTTGAGGGCCTTCCTTCTGCATTTGGGCTGGCCTTGCACGCAGATGCCTTCTGAGTTATTATTGTCTTTCGGGGAGGCTGATGAAATTCCATGTTTCTTTTCCTTTTTTCTTTTTTGAAAAAGAACACGCTTTTGATGAGTCAGTCAGAAAGCTGCAGCCGGCTTAGTCCTGTTTCTCTTTTTCTGACGCTCTGCCCCTTTCCCTTTGGCTAGGTGCTTTCTGAAGGCCTTTGCCAAGTCGCCAATCAGCTTGGAGTAGTTCCTGAGCACCCGGCAGCCGTCAATCTTTTGCTGGAAGGCCGATGGGTCCGTGGGTCTCGCTGGGAGGGTGACGGCGGGCAGAGTCAGGCCCTGCAGGCAGAGGGTGCACTGAGTATTGGTGACCAGGCCGGTCACTTGCTGCTGGGCTTTTTCCAATTGGCTGTGCAACGCCTCGTGGGGACCAGTCAGTCTGCTTTGCTGCTCTCTGATGAGCAAGAGGGAGTCTTTCAAACAGAGTGCTGTCCTGTACAACTCCTGCAGCATAAGATTCTGCGGTTTCCTAGCAATATTGCTATCTGGGAACCAGGGAACTGGCGTCATGCTGCAAAGCTGGTCCGCATCTTGCATCAAGCCCATATGGGTCAACTAGAGACAAAATCAGAGGCATGTCAATTATTGGCTTATTGATGAAGACTGGCTTCGCTTCTTTGAATATATTATCTTCCCATATCCCTCTGACTTCCTGTTCTTCACTACGGTGGCGGTATTTAAATCCCACCTGATATTCAGTGAAGTATTATTGTAATTTGGCGCAGAGGTTTGCTGCTGTTATATTTCATTCTGCAACTCTGTGGTGCTTTTTCTTTGTTAAAGGTAAAGGGACCCCTGACCATTAGGTCCAATCCTGGCCGACTCTGGGGTTGCGGCGCTCATCTCGCTTTATTGGCCGAGGGAGCCGGCGTACAGCTTCCGGGTCACGTGGCCAGCATGACTAAGCCGCTTCTGGCGAACCAGAGCAGGGCACGGAAACGCCGTTTACCTTCCTGCCAGAACGGTACCTATTTATCTACTTGCACTTTGACGTGCTTTCGAACTGCTAGGTTGGCAGGAGCTGGGACCGAGAAACGGGAGCTCACCCCGTCGCGGGGATTCGAACCGCTGACCTTCTGATCAGCAAGCCCTAGGCTCTGTGGTTTAACCCACAGCGCCACCCGCGTCCCGTTTTCTTTGTTACCTACCTTCTTTTTCGGTGCCTACATGCTTTGGTTTATAACAAAAAATCAAAATAAAAAAGTTCAAAAAGTCATTTTTGGCATATGTCTTTTAATTCAAACCAACAGAGGCTGGTCTAGCCCTGTGGAGCGCTTGGCCGGTAGAGCATGAGACCCTTAATCTCAGAGTTGTGGGTTCGAGCCCCACATTTGACAAAAGATACCTCCGTTGCAAGGGATTAGACTAGATTACCCTCATGGTGCCTTCCAATTCTATAATTCTATTCTATTAGGGCAAATAGGGTGCTTGCCCTCTCCACTTCAGTCTGTCCTCAGCCAGCACCCACCTGTCTGCCTGCTTTTTGTAACCAATCCAGGGGGTTGGGACCTGTAGTTTGTTAAGGGTGCTGAAAGTTGTTAGGCGGCTCCCTGTCTCAGATCTACAATTCCCAGAGTTCCCTGTGAAGAGGGACTGATTGTTAAATCACTCTTGATTGTAGCTCTGGGAAGGGAATATGGGTCCCCCAGCAACTCTCATCATCCTTCACCAAGGCCGGCCCACCTATTAGCCCTGCTGAGGCAGTTGCCTCAGGCAGCAGGCTGGGAACAGCTGGTTGTACAGCAGATCTGAGGAGCCTCCATAGCCACTGTCTAGATTCGTTTTCTCCTCTTCTGCTGCTCTGAAGGCCCTCAGAGGAGTGTGTCATTCGCCGCCACCTGGCAAGAGCAAGGCCAGTACCGCTGACTCCCCTCCAGCCTCCTTTTCTCTCCCTCGCTACCGTCAATGCGCCAGGGCTTTCCTGGGCCACCTCCAGTCACCTCAGGTGGCAGCAGAGAGATATAGGCAGCAGTGGCAGATTTTCTTTTTTCCGTTAAGCAACAAATGTGGGCTTAGTCTCAGGGTTGCCCTTGTAGGACTCAGGTGGGTTCTACACACAGATAAAAACCGTTCTGAAAATGCTCTTTTTAAAAGGCGTTTTTAAAAACACATTGAATTTTCCATACGGCTCACCATCGCCATCTAGTGTCACATTGTATATTGCACTCCAAACACGCTTAAAACGTTTTATTTGCAGCTGTATAGCTGAGTCCTCAGTGGGGGACGAAACTAGGATTAGTTGGCTCTGCCTGTCGTTGGCTCTGTCGCCACCTGCTGTTGGCTGTGGTGCCTTCCTCCCTACACCAATCCCACTGGGCACCAGCCATCACTGATTCAAACAGCTGATATCGCCAAAACGTAGGGCAAAGCAAAAAAATCTGAAGAGGGCAGGATTTCTCTACCACTGGGGTTGCTGGAATGAGCAACAGCCGCAGGCAAACAGGAAGGGCAGCAGGAAGTATGTCATAGAATAGCAACTTCCTGTTGTGGTGTGACAGAATGTGACCTTCTGTGCCAGGCTGGCAACAAAGCGATTGCTTATTGTCCCCCAGATGTGAGTCAAAACACAAGTGCGGTTTGTATACGTTGACAGGTTTGTGCGGGCATGCAAATGAACAGAAGTAGCAGGGCCGGCCCTATCCTTAGGCAAAGTGAGCCAACTGCCTCTGGCGGCAGATACTGGAGGGCAACAGTAGCGGTTTCTTGCTCCTCCTAATCCATTCTCCTCTGATTTGTATATTCTGGCCTGCTGCCTCCAGTGGGTTGTAACCAATGCTAGTCCTACTCGGAGCAAACCCATTGGAATTAATGTATCTATGTCTATCATTATTGTTAATTTCAATGGGTCTACTCTGAGGGGGACTAACATTGACTACAACCCAGTATCCTGTCCGCAGGGTTGAAATAAGATCCAGCTACCTGTATTATTGGTTGCCAAAGAAATGTTTCTTTCTGGTGCTTTTCTGAAAGTGCAGAACATCGGAAGGGCACCAGACTGAGGAACTGTGATTTGGACTGCAGTTCTAACTCCATTTATCTGGGAGTAAGCCCCACTGAATTCAATAGGACTGACTTCTGAAGAGGGGTGTGGGGAAATTCTGATGGAAACAGGGAGTGGAAATTGCTACGGTTTGGTTTCAGTCCACAAACAAGATGTGTTTGATTACATTCCTCACCACCAACACACTTGCATTGTTTCGTCGGCACTGAAATTGATGTGGTGGAATAACATAATGACAACATTATTATTATTATTATTAGTAGTAGTAGTAGTATGGCAATGGAAGACAGCTTGGAGTCGTTCAGTGGCATACAGAAATGTGTTTCGTGCAAAATTAGAAGATGACCCACTATTCTGAATAATAATTAACAATAATATTAACAGCCTGCCCTTCACCCTGAAGCCCAACAACTAAAACAGCGTGTTGAAAACAACTTACAACACCAGAAATGAAGGGGGTTCTAAAAATATCCATCTCAAGTGTCGTAAGTCAGGGTAAAGAGGTGTATCTTATGTAACTAACTGAGCACACAAATGATCTAAATTATGTAATTCCGCCACAGCGGGACAGATAACATCGTTTTTGCAGAAGGCAAACTGCAACAGAATGTAAACAGAGTTGTATGTGAGGAATGCAGGGGTAGGATAGCAGGTGATTCCTTCTTACACCCCTACTTCCGAGTAGGCATTGCTCTGTTAGATCCCCTTGTAGGATGTCCGAGTGAATCAATCCCAGTTTACTTACATAGGACTTGTAGAGCTTCCGGGCAGGCCTCCTCATCGACATAACCAGTCGCTTTGTTTGGAGGAGGGTCTCTGAACCTGCAAAGCAGAGTTGGCAGGAGCTGGAGCTGGAATTCACTGGTGTCACGCCCAGGAGAACGAGTGGGGTCACCACAACTGGATTAGAAGATAGAGACAAGGAGCAAGTGAGACAGGCAGGGTCCACGGAACACGGCTGTCTCTGAAGTCCCAAGGCGAGCAGACTTGCGAGTCATTCAATGATACAGTGGTACCTCAGGTAACATATGCTTCAGGTAACAGACTCCACTAACCCAGAAATAGTGCTTCAGGTTAAGAACTTTGCTTCAGGATGAGAACAGAAATCGTGCTCCGTTGGCGCAGCAGCAGCGGGAGGCCCCATTAGCTAAAGTGGTGCTTCAGGTTAAGAATAGTTTCAGGTTAAGAACGGACCTCCGGAATGAATGAAGTACTTAACCTGAGGTACCACTGTATATGGAAATGCATTTTGCACAAAAAATAGAAGATTTTGCCATTTAAAATAATCAGGCAAGCATTGTTCCTCCATGAGCACAACAGCATCCAAGCAATCTTTTGAATTTATCCACAAGAGCAGAGGTTTTCAACCATTTTGAATCCACGGCTCCCTTGACCTTTCTGTGGCACCCCTGTGGGGCTCAGGATCCCAGTTTTGTCACCCCTTGCCTGCAGCCCCTCAACCTTTTTCGAACCCCCCCCCCCATGTAGGGTTCCCTCAGCCTCCTCTCTTCTCCCCTCTCCTTGGGAGTCCTCTGGGCAGCTGCCGCCACTGCCACTGGTCTCTGAGCTAATCTCCCACCCTGCCCCACAGGTGCCTGGGAAGAGGATGCCCCCAGCCTTAGTGACCCAAAGGAGACTGGGCAAAGGTGAACATGAGGCCAGCACCTTACCTTGGGAGGCAGCAGTGGCAGCAATGGGCGCTGCTGGGCCTGCCTGGTGGAAAGGCTCCCCTTCAGCACCGGGCACTCAGCTCCCAGGCAGGCCTTGCCAGGGCAAGAAAAGCACAGCACCTGCCTGCCTGGTCTCCCACTTGTCTGTCCATTCCCGACAGCAAGGGCTGGCGGACTGGCTGGCTGGGCTCCCTCAACTACTTGCTTGCTTACTCCTAGGCCACCTCAGCTCCTGGCAACCAGCCCCCGAGGCACCATTTTCCTGGAGAGTTTGTAGCCAGGGCTGCTGCAAGGAAGAGTCGTGCAAGCTTTTGGGGACACGAGAGGGCATCAGAGGAGAGAGGGAAGAAAAAGGACATAGGCTAGTGTTGCCCACGGCACTCCTGACCATCATTCAAAGCGCCACAGGGTGCCACGGCACACTGGTTGAAAACCACTGCATAAGAGTTTCTGACTGGCTCACTGCTGGGGGTCGTTAGATATTTCTAAAGCAGGTTGGCATTTCTCCGCAAAGGAATAATGGGTTAAGGTCTCAAGATGTGTGTTGGTGGGTGCATGTTGTATGCATGAATGTATTTAAATACTACATGTATGTGCTGTATGTATATATAAAGGTAAAGGTAAAGGGACCCCTGAACATTAGGTCCAGTCGTGGCCGACTCTGGGGTTGCGGTGCTCATCTCGCTTTATTGGCTGAGGGAGCCGGCGTACAGCTCATGTGGCCAGCATGACTAAGCCGCTTCTGGCGAACCAGAGCAACGCACAGAAACACTGTTTACCTTCCCGTCGGAGCAGTACCTATTTATCTACTTGCATTTTGACGTGCTTTCAAACTGCTATATTGGCAGGAGCTGGGACCGAGCAACAGGAGCTCACCCCGTCGCGGGGATTCGAACCGCCGACCTTCTGATCGGCAAGTCCTAGACTCTGTGGTTTAACCCACAGCGCCACCCGCATCCCTTGTATGTATATATATTCCTTTTATATTCCACCTTTACTCCAAGGAGATCAAGGTTATGTACATCGTTGTTCTCCTCCTCCCCATATTTTATCCAAACAACAACCCTGTGAGGTAGGTTAGGCTGAGAGTGAGTGTTGGACCCAGTGAGCTTCAGGTCCCGGTCCAATGCTCTAACCACTACACCACACGTGTGTGTGTGTGTGTCTGTGTGTCTGTGTGTGTGTGTGTGTGTACATGTATGTAATATACATGTAACACACATACTGATTGTTCTACTGAAATAATTTGCGCTTGCAAATAAAGCAAAAGTGGCAATTAAAAACAGTGGCTGCATACATAGCATAGATTTAAAGTTCATGACTGCCCCCAAAGACTTGGGGAAGAGAGCTGAAGGTGTGTTCAAAAGCTGGGCGCAGTGCTGGTTCCCCATGGATCCTGTTTCCAGAGTCTTAGAGGTAAACAGCCACGACACACAGAGGAGCAGACCTGATGCTGGGAACGAAACAATGCAGTACCCCATGCCAGTCCTACTCAGAGTAGACCCATTGAAATTAATGGACATGGCTAACCTAGGCCCATTAATATCAGCGGGTCTGTTCTGTGCAGGACTAGCTTTGGCTACAACCCTCTGTCCTTCAGCCGTTCCCTTTATCTGCCTAGCTCTGTCTTGTCACCTCATTAACAAACCAACACAAAATAACTGTTAGAACTGAGTAGCACACATGGAAAGAGGAACTTGAAAAAGAGCAGGGAAAAGAGAAGACACAGAATAGGCCAGCATCCCAGGCAAAAGGAAGGAGAGAGCAAGATTCACCACGTACCGAGACAAACAGCAATCACCCGGGGCTTCAACACCATGCTCAGACCGCCACGGGGTTGTTCAGCCAGCCACTGCTTCTTTCGCAAATGGCTCAATAAAGGTGGAAGTTGAGTCTTCCTCCCAACCCCACCCCGCTTGCTGATTAGCCGAACTCTGCTTTCAGGGTGTGACATTGCGTGGTGGAAAGAAAAGAGAAGAAGGGGGAAAAACGAGAAAAAGAAGAAGCGCCGTGGACCAGCCTCAATGAGTCTCTCAATGTGCGGTCTCCCACAGGAAACACATCCTGCCCCCGGGTCTTCGAATTAAGTTCCTCGAGGTCATCGTGTTTCCTGGGTGCCAGCTACCCAAGATAGTTATCTTGCCAGTGTCTAACTGGGTTACCAAACCCCACTTCTCATGGTAGCAGGGATCCAATGATTTGGTGTCAAAACCAGGAGGGTGGGCAGGCGGTTATAGCTCAAAGCAGTGGTTGACTTTTGCCAACCTAGGACCCAAATGTTTTGGATAGCTATTCCCATCATCCCAGCCAGCATGTCAAATTTAGACTATAGCGCCCATCATAACAGCCATGCTAGTTGAGGCTGATGGAAGTTGTAGTCCAAAAAAACACTGTACTGAGACCCATTGTCTAAGCTCAACTTACCCACTATATTATCAAATATAGACTCGATGTGATTTCTTACAGCGCTTGCATGCGTTATTTATAGTCGCATCATCTCAAAGTGGTAACAGACCACAACAAATAGACAGTTCTTACTCATTTTAAAGTATTTCTACCCTGCCATTCAGCCCAAAAGGCTCCTGTAGCAGTTTTACATAAAATCAATAACAAACAAGGCAGTCCCTGCCTAAAGGCCCACAATCCAAAAAACTGACACTAACGGAAAAAGGGAGAAGAAGAGAGGAAAACAAGGAACTCGACCCCAGTTCTTAAGTTCTTAGAATAATCAACTTGAAGGGAAACAGTTCAGAGAAAAGTAAGGAGTCAGACTGAGCTCATCTCTCTGTCTGCTGTTGGCCTCCAACTTGAATGGTTTTCAACTAAATCATGGAAGAAGATAAAGCTATGATTGTAGCTACTAGTCATGACGCAGGTGGCGCTGTGGGTTAAATCACAGAGCCTAGGACTTCCCGATCATAAGATTGGCGGTTCGAATCCCCACGGCAGGGTGAGCTCCCGTTGCTCGGTCCCTGCTCCTGCCAACCTAGCAGTTTGAAAGCACGCCAAAGTGCAAGTAGATAAATAGGTACTTCTCCAGTGGGAAGGTAAACGGCGTTTCCGTGCGCTGCTCTGGTTTGCCAGAAGCGGCTTAGTCATACGCCGGCTCCCTCAGCCAATAAAGCAAGATGAGCGCCGCAACCCCAGAGTCGGCCACGACTGGACCTAATGGTCAGGGGTCCCTTTGCCTTTACCTTTAATAGTCATGATGGCTATGGTCTGCCTCCACGGTTGGAGGCAGTAATGCTTCTAAACACCAGTTGATGGCGATGACAGCAGCAGAGAACGTTCTTGCGTTCGGGTCCCGCTTGCGGGTTTCCTACAGGCATCCGGTTGGCCACTGTGAGAACAGGATGCTTAGACGAGATGGGCCATTGGTCTGATCCAGCAGGCTCTTCTTAAAAGTTTTTACACACTGGGAAGTGTAGGGTGACACTTGCTTTGACACAATGTTTGGCTAGCATCCCTGCAAACAAACCAGAGTGAATGCACATTAACTAGCTAACTTCATCTAATCTCCCTGCAAACAAATGAGGATGGATGCTTATAATAATAATAATAATAATAATAATAATAATAATAATTTATTATTTATACCCTGCCCATCTGGCTGGGCTTCCTCAGCCACTCTGGGCGGCTTCCAACAAAATATTAAAATACAGCAATGCATCAAACATTAAAAGCTTCCCTAAACAGGGCTGCCTTCAGATCATCTGGAGTTCTCCTCCATCGCCTCTGCATGAGCTTTCCTGCCTGTACAGTGGGAAAATGAGTGCAACGCTACTGTCTGCTTTGACATTTCCACCAGCCTGATGGCGGAAGCAGGTAGGTGTTCCTCCTCCACTGGTCCAGTTTCTTAAAAACTGCAAGACAGCAAATCTGCTGTCGGGATCTCTTTTCCAAATAGTTGTTTTGACTCATGGACTGGTTCTATGCAGTTTCAGAATCTCACACTGGGAGCCTTGGTAAAGCTGAGGTGAGAGAAGCAACGAAAAGACTCCCCGGCGGTTTGTGGTCTGTTTCCATTCTGACTAGGCAGCCGTCTATATACTGATGAAATTTCTGACAACCCTGCCACAATGGCAAACAGCTTCTTTATCTATCGGGGCATCGTTTTGCTGGCTTGGCATATATGGGATGGAAAGCCACTACATTGACACAATGGAGGGAATAACAGCATTTGACTCCCCTCCTCTCCTGACCTTTTCCTCCCCAGGTGCTCATTAGAAGACCTTGCAGCTATGGTTTTGTACCTGAGCTTGCTCATTTCCTCCTCCCTCCCAACCTATTTTCCTTTTGTGTCTTGTCTTTTGTAGATCAGACTTCTCCAACCTAGTGCCTTCCAGGTGTTCTGGAGTACAACTCCCGCCTCGAAGGCGAACCTTTCACACACGCAGAACACTGTTGCAAGCTGAAACGCAGGCATCTTCGAAATATTGCAACCTCTCCAAATTTTGCTACGCAGTTAGCTCTCCAGCCAAGTCATGTGTACAAAAAATGCATACAGTTGCGCAGAATGAGCATTAAAATGCATATATTAATGAAAAGAACATACAAAAAAAATCTGTTCTATTTGGGGAAATTGCTTTGCAAACTGATATGGGCACCTGGAGAGCTAAACTTAAGACTGGGGGGGGGGGTGAGAAACTGAGAGAAACTAGAATTGGCACATTTTCTCATTTCTGCTCCTGTCATCCCTGATCATTGGACATGCAGTGTTTTGAGAGAGGGAGAAAAACGTTTCTACCCGCTTTCTTCATGCCAGGCATACATAATTTTATAAACTTCTATCATGTCATGTTTTAATCACCTTTTTTCTAGACTAAAAAAGTCCCCAATGCTACAACTTTTCCTTGCTCCATCATTTTCCAGATCCAATGTCCTTTTTGAGGGGCGGCTGCCAGAACTCACCAGAGATTTGTACGATGTACCGAAGATTTGTATAATGGCCTTATGATATTGGCAGTTTTGTTTCCCAACAATCCCTTAGGTAATAGTAATAGGGACCCCTGGCCGTTAGGTCCAGTCGTGAGCGGCTCTGGGATTGCGGCGCTCATCTCGCTTTACTGGCCGAGGGAGCCGGCGTACAGCTTCCAGGTCCTGTGGCCAGCATGACTAAGCCGCTTCTGGTGAACCAGAGCAGCGCACGGAAATGCCGTTTACCTTCCCGCCAGAGCGGTACCTATTAATCTACTTGCACTGTGTGCTTTCAAACTGCTAGGTTGGCAGGAGCAGGGACCGAGCAACGGGAGCTCACCCTGTCGTGGGGATTCGAACCGCCAACCTTCTGAGCGGCAAGTCCTAGGCTCTGTGGTTTAACCCATAGTCCCTTAGCATGAGACAATGGACTATTTTTCCACAAGGGATCATCATTTTTTCCAGCAGGCTCAGTCTGGGAGCACCCAACTATGCCTCAAGCAAGTCACCACGACCCCCTTTAATGCTTTGTGATTCCACTTCCCCACTTAGATTTTTGTCACGTTTAATGACTGCAGGGTCTTTCGAGTGCTGATATTGACATAGCTGGCTTATCTATCACACAGAGATTGCATTTCTGCAGCTTTTTTGACAGTTGCCCTCTATTGCCATCCAGGCGGGGGGACAGGACACTCCTTCTGCCTCTTGCTAATGAGAAGGAATGAGCTTACATGCCAAGGATTCCAGCTCCAACCTTTAGCATCCAACACTTAAAAGGAAGATTGGGGGGAAATATTTCCCCCCGCCCACCTGCCTGAAGGAGAACCACTGCTGGGTTAGATAGTGCCAGGGCTGGGGCGGACAATCTGACCTAGTTCACAGAAGCCTCCTGCATTCCTAGCTTCACTGATATGGCCAATACAACTCTGACTGACTGTTCGCTGAGATTCCCTTTTAGAATTTCTAAAGCAGCTCCCTTGGAACCCAATTTAAGGTGCGCAGGTTTGTGTTTAAAGCCCCCAAACGACTTGAGCTCTCAAATATTAAATACCTACTTCCCCACTGACCCTCTTGCAGGCACACCAACTCTATGGGGCTGAGGCCTCTATGTCCCCCAGGATGGGGTTCAGCCCCCCCCCCCCATTTTAAGGGGGCAGAGCAATTTTGGTGGGATATTTCCCTGGAGAGTTTTAATGTATTTTCTACTGGTTTTAATATATGTATGCATGTTTTCTGTCTATGGCAAAAAAGTAATAAAAATAAATTCAATTAATCATTATAATTATTATTTTAATGTTATATTTTTATACTGCTGGGATCTTGTGGAAAAGGTCAGGTTCACCTTCAATCATTTTCCTAGGATCTAGGTATTCTTTTGTAGAGTTGTATCCTGGAAACCGTTCCGGGAATCCGTTTGACTTCCAAAATGTTCTGAAACCAAAGCGTGTGTTCTGATTGGCTGCAGGAAGCTCCTGCAGCCAATCGGAAGCCCCGTCGGACATTCTGCTTCCAAAAACAGTTTGTAAACCGGAACGGTCACTTCTGGGTTTGTGGCATTCGGGAGCCAAAACGTTCGAGAACTAAGCTGTTTGAAAACCAAGGTACAACTGTATTCCCTCTCAGGGATGGAGTTACTTCGTGCTCCGGTGTCAATCTGAAATAATTATTAGCATTTCCTTTGGGCCTCTATGGAAGGCTGGCAACAGCTTCCTCTGCTCCAGCGTCATCACTTATTGTGGTTGCGTCTAAGCAACAGCCTGCTTCTTCTCAGGAATGTTCCTAGTCCGTTACTTGCGTATCTGCTTGCATGCTTGCGTGCGCTTCTGAAATGCTTTGTCATAGGAGGCAGCCTCAGAACAAGTCATGCCACTGGTCCATCTAGCTCAGTAGGCAAACTAAGGC